CTGCTGACACCCACCCATTCCATGGGCAGTGCCTGGCAAGCCCTGTGCGTCCCTGCCTCTGACTGCTCACACCCATCTGCCCTGTGGGCACTGCCCAAGGCATTCCTGCCCACTGACTGCTGCCCGGCGAGCAACTGCGCATCTCTGCCTGCTGACAGTTCACACCTACCTGCCCTGTGGGCACTGCCCAGCGAGCCCTGCGCATTCCTGCCCTCTGATTGCTCACACCCACCCGCCCCATGGGCTCTGCCGTCCCAGGGACACTCACCAGCGAAGTCGTGCACCAGGTCCTTGATCAAGTGGCCCACGATGGCATAGGCAACGAGCCCCACGATCAGCGCTGCCATCAGCAGGTACAGGACATAGCAGGGCAGGCGGATGGCATCCAGGGCTGGAGGCTTGTAGTCCGTGTACAGGGCCTCCTCCCGCTCTGGGGTGTCCTGCAGCAAGTGCCGCATCCCCAGCGTGCCATCAGCCACGCTCCCGCTGCTGCCCGAAAAGGCCTTCTCCAGAAGAGCCTGGCGAGCCATGTCAGCCCCCATCTGCCCTCTGAGTCTGTGAAGCCCTCCGAGACGTCCTGCACTGCCCGATGCTGCCACCCCAGCTCCTGCTGGCTGGCCCCTGGGCCCAGTTCCAGAGGCAGTGCCAGGCAGCGGCTCCGCACTCGGTTTCCAGGTGCTGCTGCCCGTGAGATCTTGCCAGGTGGAGATGAGCGTCCGTGAACAGCCTATGCCCGACTCCCCGGCCCCGTCACTGGACCCAGCGGGATTCACAGCTCTTGCGACGGGGCAGGCAGGCGAAGAGCCGCGGGGTGCAGCTGGAGCGTGGGGCGCGACCCCTGCTAGGTCAGTGGTGACTCAGATTCGGGGGCCCCAGTGTTGTGGAAGGAGGGGGTCCCATCTGCCCCCGGCACCCCAACTTCTGCTCAGCAAGCCCCATGCATGGAGGAAGAACAAAGCTGGGGGTGCAAACTCCCCTCTCAGACAGGATCTGCAAGTTGTGCCCGGGCAGGGGGAGCCCAGGCCGGCTCCAGGGCCCTCCCAGGCCTTTCTCTGCCCCCCACGGGGTCCGGAGGGACCGGACAGCCGGGACCCAGCAGGCTAAGCTGAGTGTGGCCATACGAGGGAGGCAGTCAGGGGCGCTGTCCAGATTGTACCGACCCTTCCCTCCTGGGTGCCAGGCGTGTCTCAACACCCCCCAGCCCACAGGCCTCTCTTAGGATAAGGGGATGATGCTCTGGAGGGGATGAGCTCCCCCCAGTGGCTCCCAGCACCCAGTCGGGGCAGGAAGAGGAGGATGGCTCGGTGCCTCTGGCCAGGCTTTGCCTTGGGTGCACCGAGAGCAGCTGGGCAGGATGGAGCCACGTCCCCGACCCCTTAGTCCGCCTCTGGCTGTGCCAGGCTAGGAACCGCTGGAAATCTTACCCCTGGGAGCGGCCGAGATGCTGCAGGGCTCCCAGGCACATCTGCCCCGTTCCCTCGGGGGGCGGCCGCAGCAGGCTGGATGGGGGCTCTGCTGCTGCCCTGCGGGAGCTCACACAGCCAGCGATGAGCGCTTAGCGGCTGGGGTGGGCAGACTGGCCCTGGGCTGGCGGGTGAAAGCCAAGTGCCCACAGCTTTGGGGAGGGACGGCTCCCCGCAGGCGGAGCTAATCCCTCCCAGGCTGGAATTTCCTGGACAGATGGTCTGAGACCAGCAAGGGAAGTCCCCACACAGGAGCCTGCAGCTCTGTTCCTGGCACGGGGGGGGGGGGGGGGGCACAGGGGGCTCCTTTGGGGGGGTTGGGGAGACAGCTCTGGGGCCAGCCCACCAGGTTTGGGGCCGTGGAACCAGCTGATGTCCTGCTGTTGAGAACACACACACACACACACACCTCAGTCAAAGGAGCTGGGGCCTGTTCCCAGCGCAGATGCTAGTTTCATGTCCAAGGCTGGCTCAGGACACTCACAGCAGGGGAGGGGGATCCATGATCTCCAATATCATTGGCTAGCCATTAATGATCTAATTTGCATATGCATAGTAATATGGCATGGGCCACAGGAAAGGCTTTGCCCACCATCCTCCCTGCCCGTCCCACTGGGAGAAATCGCCCCACAAGCCTCAGCCTAGCTAGTACAGCAGTGCAGCCACCTCTGGGGCAGAGCATGGCAGCTGTACGGTAAGGAGCTACGCTGCCGCAAACCTCAACACCCCCACATGGAAACCACTGGAGTTTAGGGAGCCAGGCAGGGGTTCCCCAGGTTGGAATTTGGCTGGGGCACAGGGCCGGCTCTTGCCCTGTCTTCCGGGGGTGGCAGCTTTACAGCTCAGCTGAAATAACACTAACTCAGGGTGTTTGGGAGGCAGCATTTGCCAAAGCGCCAGGACCCAGCCGGGCAGGTAATAGGGGGTGGGTGGCTCTCCCAGGTTCTCTTCTAGGGCTTCAGTGTCTCTGCCCTGGGACTTCCGGCAGCAGTGGACTCTCCACTTCCCTCCCCCCACAAAAAGTTCAGCAGGCCAGGACTCCTGGGTTCTATTCCCAGCTCTGCCCTTGACTCACCCCGTGACCTTGAGTGAGTCACTGCCTCTTTGTGCCTCAGTTTCCCCCAGCTGTATGAGTCGATACTGAGAGCTCTAACAGCTAAACCATCCAAGTCGTATCAGCCTCCGGCACTAACGCGGGGAGCTACCAGCCCAGCTCAAGGGCTGCGCCGAACATTGCCAGCAAAGTGACGTTGCCAACATGTGCTCTGTGTCGAAGCCCAAACCATCGTGGAGACGTGTTGTTTTCCCAGATGTGGGAGACCCAGGTTCAAGTCCCCAGGCCTTCCCTAGCCAGGCAGGGACCCGGCTCCCAGGGCAAGAGAGGGTCAGAATCTCCCCTCGCCCCCAGAAGCCAAAATGCTCAGCGACACAGTCTGGGTCACAGAAACAGTCAAAGGGTTTCGGCCCCATCCCCCTGCTGAACAACACCACGGAGCCAAACTTGGAAATGGCCATAACAGAACTGTCCCCTTCAGCTGACCCCCGACCGCCCCAGGACCCCCGGCCCTACTGGACACCAGCTCCATCCAGCCCACCCCCAATATATGCCCTCCCACCCCCAATACCCAGCAACCTCCATGGCCACAGCACATTCCTTTGCCAGTCTCTTGCCCATCCGATGCATGGTACTGGCACGGCTCTCCCAGCCCCCCTCTTTCCACCCAGTGCATTGGCCCGTGGGGGCCACACGTCGCCTCCCAGGAGCACAGACAGGAGCTGGGCTGGCTGCGGGTCTTTGCCCCCCTCCCGCCCCAGCGAAGAGCTGCAGCCGCATAAGAGGGTTTAGGAAATAAGAGGATTGAGGGAGTGACTCAGAAAGGGCTTTTGCTGAGGAAAAAGCATCTGTGAACAAACCGGACACAGCTGCTGGCCTCCGGCCCCGGCTGGGAGCAGCCGGGAAAGAACAAGTGGAAAGCAAGGCCGAAGCCAGCCCGGCCACTGGGCCCTGCTGCCACACAAACCACCAGGCTCACGTGTCCACGAGTGGCTGGTGACCCCAGTGACCTGGCGTCACAGCCCAGCGCCCCTTCAGCCCCTGAAAGCAGAGTGCCCTGTGGAGCTGCTGGCCCAGCCTGGTGCCCCCAGTTCGAGGGCGTTGATAACTGGAGAGGGTCAGAGGGGAGCCGTGAGGACGTTAGAAAACCTGCCCTGTAGCGAGACTCAGAGCACAACCCATTTAGCTTAACCCAACACTCTCCTTCCTGGTGTCCCTCCCCAAAGCCCCCATGGCAGTAACATGCCCTTTGCCCCCTTGGTGCTGTTCACTCTGCTTGTGCCTTATAACACCTCCCCCCTCCGGTAAATCAAGGCAGGGACCCTCGCTTACGCTGATCAGTGCCCAGCACAGCAGAGCCCGGATCTCAGCTGGGGCCGCTAGGTGCTATTGTTATACCAGCCCAGAGCTGACTGGCACAGCTCCCGTGCCCAGGGTGAGCCCTCCCTCGCCACGCCAGAGTAGCGTTCGCACCTCCTTCTTTCCAAAAGCCACATGGTCCTTTGTGCCACGGGGTGAGACAGCTTCATGAACCTTGACCACACAGCTGCTGGCCGGGGGCTCAGGCCCAGCGGGTGAGGCACCGGGAACCTCGGGTGCGCGGCTGCTGGCGGGGGGCTAAGGCCCAGCGGGTGAGGCAGCGGGAACCCCGGGCGCGGGGCTGCTGGCTGGGGGCTAAGGCCCAGCGGGAACCCCGGCCGCGGGGCTGCTGGCCGGGGGCTAAGGCCCAGCGAGTGAGGCAGCGGGAACCCTGGGCGCGGGGCTGCTGGCCGGGGGCTAAGGCCCAGCGGGTGAGGCAGCGGGA